AGACGCGAGCAGAGGATCCCGGCGCTGGTGGCAAACCACTATGTACAGTGCATGTGCTGTGTTGCATGGGTGTGCTATACGTAGCGATGCTGCACATACTTAGGGGTTTGCAGCCAGCACTGCTCCAGCGCCGTATGGATGGTGCCTGGATCCCTCTGTCGTCGCTTCAGCAAGGGCAAGCACATGCATACAGCACATGCGTGCGATGACACACATGCACTGTACTTAACGGTTTGCCACCGCCAGCGCTCCAGTGCCATATAGATGGTGCCGGGATCCTCTGCTCATGGCTGCAGCCGTGAATGGAGGATCTTCCATTTGCGGCTGAAGCAGCGACGGATGCAGGCACCGTCTGTATAGCGCTGGAGCGCCGCCACAGGCAAACCACTATGTACAGTGCATGTGCGACATCACTACGTACGGCGCATGCATCATACATAGCAATGCCACACATACATCCTACTTAGTGACACCTGCCCTGGGTGTCACGATGCCTTTGTGCACCCCTGCCTCCAGAACTTTGGGGAGAGGAACAGAACAGACTTAGATAAACATGGGTTATTGATTCTGGAACTCCCTGCCCCTGTCATTCATGCCAGTCCTATGGGGAGCAGACCCATTCAAACTAATGGATATGACTAAGGCCTAATTGGCTCCATACATTTAAAGCTGGATCTTGCCACAAATATTCATGTATTCCCCTGGCTCTCTGTGGGTACCAACGCCAACCAAAAGCCTAATATAACCTGCATAGCAGCCAAATTTTGTGGTCCTTCCCCTTACACTGTTGGAACCTCCGTGGATATTCCAGATCACATCTGGAGCAGACTAATCTTCTGCTTGAATCATTGTGCCATTTTTTTATTCATTATAAAAACGTACATAGCTACAGAAATGGTTTGTCTTGTGAAAATACTTAATTATTCTTTAATAAAACCATTTATATATTGTTTCACTACTGTGGTCTTTAAGCCGTGTCCAAAAACTGCAATACTTCAAAGGTAAAAAAATATTAAAAACTGTAAATTTTATTTGTCAATAAATTTGCCTGCTGGAATTTTTGGACTGTGTTCAGTGGGTGTCACAAGTTCAACAGAGAAGGAGGCTCCTCTGGTCTCAACTGAAAGGGAGGAGCACAAAATTCAGCCCATCATACTGAAAGTATGACTCTTGGGGTATATGGACTGTGGATCCAACCCATGCGATACCATGACAGTGGCTCCACCAAAGACTACAGTGGTACCTTTCTAAAAAAGGTCTGGCACTATTCAATAGGGACGCGGGTGGCGCTGTGGGTTAAACCACAAAGCCTAGGACTTGCCGATCAGAAGGTCGGCGGTTCGAATCCCCGCGACTGGATGAGCTTCCATTGCTCGGTCCCTGCTCCTGCCAACCTAGCAGTTCAAAAGCACGTCAAAGTGCAAGTAGATAAATAGGTACCGCTCCAGCGGGAAGGTAAACAGCGTTTTCGTGTGCTGCTCTGGTTCGCCAGAAGCGGCTTAGTCATGCTGGGCACATGACCTGGAAGCTGTACGCCGACTCCCTCGGCCAATAAAGCGAGATGAGCACCGCAACCCCAGAGTCGGTCACGACTGGACCTAATGGTCAGGGGTCCCTTTACCCTTTACCTTTACCACTATTCAATATGTTAAAATCTAGAGCTCCTTGCCCTCTAAATTAAACAAAGTAAACCTCTTGGATCCCTATTGGCCTTGATCACAATATATAACCTCATATGTCCCTGCTGCATCCTACCGTAAGCTCCAACCTGCAGGATCCATCACAGAACCTGCCTAGAAAATCGCACCCTGTGATTTGTCCTTCCCCCAATAAAGCAGTTAGAATTCAGAGATTTTGAATATTCTGCAATGCATCTCAGCCAAGCTTACCTGATTCTTCGACAAGGAGGACTCGACTGATGCGTCTCAGAGTTGAAGAGGCTAATGGTGTCTCCCTGCATCCCAGGGCTTTTTATACCAAACCTTTTCAGAAGGTTCTAATTAACAGCTAGCATCATGTCTCATTATTTAGCATCCAGATTATCCCAAGGGGTGATTTCACTCTGCGTACTCATTTGTTCCACCTGGTGTTCCACCCCATAGGCACGATCCTCCCTGAGGAAATTGCTAGGGTCCCAATGTTTCCAAAAGTGACTCCGGTCAGCGCTGAGTCAAGACTGCCTTCCTAGATTCACAGCCCAATTGGATGGGCTGTTAAATGCTTCCCAGCCTCACCTTTGCCATTGAGTGTGGGGACAGTGGAGTTCAACCAAGTCACGTGAAGTTGTGCATGTGCACAGCCAGTCCTTAAGCAGAGCCAGTGTGGTGCAGTGGTTAAGAGCGGTAGACCGGGTTTGCGTCTCTGCTCCTTCACATGCAGCTGCTGGGTGCCCTTGGGTTAGTCACATTTCTCTGAAGTCTCTCAGCCCCACTCACCTCACAGAGTGTTTGTTGTGGGGGGAAAAGGGAAAGGGGAATGTTAGCCTCTTTGAGACTCCTTAGGGGAGTGATAAAGCAGGATATCAAATCCAAACTCTTCTTCTTCTTCTTCTTCTTCAGAGGGAGGCAGCTGGCTCAGGTGGTTGAGGCAGAAAGATACCTTAGTGGAGCATGATATTGGAGGATAGAGCTGCACAGTGCTACTTCACCTGTCTCATGCCAACCAATGGTTGTAGTGGAAGGGGTCCCATCACTATGAATGGGCATATCTCTCAAATTTGGGTTCTTGCAGTCCCCTCCCTTTCCCAATCTTTATTTAATTTTTCCACATCAGCTTGCAACGTTCTTTTCTTTTCTTGCCAAATGTCCTCCTGAAAATTCATCAGCATTGGGGTGTGCATTTCTCTTCATATAACTATTTTGCAGTTTCACCTAATGCCTCCTGAGAGCTTCTTCTTCTTCTTTGGCGATCACTCGTAGTCGAGTAAGATTGTCTTCCATAAACACGGTTTTAACAATGAGTCCGTAAGTGACTGTGGAGGCCAGTTCTGGACCAACACATCCTTCCACAGTGGGGACATTGTTTTACCGGGCGGGAGTTGATCACATTGTGGATTTGCCAAGCGTGCCTTCCTCTTTGCACATTTCTCCCTTGCGTCCTGAGTTCGAGTATCTTCAAAGTCCATGACACTTTTAGTAAAGGTTGTTCTCCAATTGGAGCGCTTGCAGGCCAGTGTTTCACAGTTTTTGGTGTTTATACTACAATTTGTTTAGATTTGCCTTGAGAGAGTCTTTAGACCTCTTTTGTTGACCACCAGCATTATGCTTTCCATTTTTTAAGTTCGGAATAGAGAGTTCCTGAGAGCATGGAGAGGATTCGTCACTATTATTTTATTCGTATTCGTATTATTTCGTAAAGATTGTATACATTGCTTGATTGTAAAAACAAAACCCCTAAAAGCAGTTTACAAAATGAGAAAACAAGAAAATCAAGGGGGGGAAATTATGTCAGTGCTTTAAAACATACAACATGATTTTTTAAAAAATGCATTTTCACCTAAAGGCTGCTAAATGGAAAGACGGATGCTGCTGAGGAATTACTTGTTTATTTTTACTTCATAAATTTTATATATCGCTTGATTAGAAAAAGAATGAAAGAAAAAGAAATGCAAAAGTGGTGTGCAAGAAAACAGAAGAAGAAATTCAGGGAGGAAACAGTTACAAGGGACAAAACAATGAGTGGAACAAACAGGTCTGCAGTCCCTGGTAAAAATGGCTTATTCATTTAAAGTCATATCTCAGGTTAATGGAGCTTTAGGTTGCATTTTTTTGGGTTACAGACCGCTGAAACCCAGAAATACCAGAACTGGTTACTTCCAGGTTTCGGCGGTTGCACATGCACAGAAGCCCTAAATCATGCTTTGTGCATGCGCAGAATTGCCAAATCGCAACCCGCGCACACGCAGACAGGCCACTGTGGGTTGCGAATGTGCATCCTGCACAGATGACATTTTCAACCTGAGCATCCACTGTATTTGGAAAATAAAATGCCATGGGATGAATGAGAAGTTCATTCCGATTCATGTTTTGCTGTTTCTGAAAACAACATGTGATCCAAAACACAGCAGTTCTTTGAGATTCACGCTTCTTTGAATTTTGCAATGCAGTTCACCAGCCAAGTGATGTGTGCGAAATTGTACACACTAGAGTAAAATGTGCCTATAAATGCATGGAGAGTGGCAAACAGAATTTTGTGAATATATAGTCTTGGCAAGACTCACAGCACCAGTAAGAGGACAAACAGACCAAAAATTGATTGAAGAATGGGACTGTGTAAAGGAATACAGTGGTACCTCAGGTTAAGTGCTTAATTCGTTCCGGAGGTCCGTTCTTCACCTGAAACTGTTCTTAACCTGAAGCACCACTTTAGCTAATGGGGCCTCCTGCTGCTGCTGTGCCGCCAGAGCCCGATTTCTGTTCTCATCCTGAAGCAAAGTTCTTAACCTGAAGCACTATTTCTATGTTAGCGGAGTCTGTAACCTGAAGCGTCTGTAACCTGAAGTGTATGTAACCTGAGGTACCACTGTATATGAAAAAACCTTGTTCTGGGATACATATATCAATATGCATGGAATGAAGTTCACAGGGTAGAAAGAAGGAGGAATTGGATATAAGTAAGTAAAAACAAAATAATAACTAATAACACAACAATTAAAATTAGATTGAGAGAAGGAGGTCATACATGGGTGAAGGGAAGCCAAGTTTCTATGTACTTTTTCATTTTTTTCTGTTTTCTTTTTTTCTTTTTCTTTTCTTTATTTTATTACCTTTTTTCTTCATATATTTTGAAACTGTTTACTCTGTTTGTCTGACATTATCGTAATTAACAAAAATAATTTTTATTTTTTTAAAAAAGAGATTCATTCATTGGAGGGAATTAGATGCCCCTTCCAACTCTACAAGTCTATGATTCAGTGGTTTCAAGTTATCATGCTCTCCCAACACATCCTCCTTTATCAACCACCTGAAATAGCCATCTCCCTATGCCTACTTGAGTAGGACCCTGGTAGGGAGATGGAGGCTGGCTGGGACCAAAAATGGTTTCCAAGCCACACATCTGACCTGGAGTCCATTTTTGGTCCCAGCCAGCCTCCATCTCTCTGCCAGGGTCCTACTCGAGTGTAGGCTGACCTCCTGACAAGTATGATCTGCTGTGCAGAACTTAACCTGACTTGGTTGAATTCCACCAGCAAGGGCAAAGGGGATGTTGGGAAGCATTTCACAGCCCATCACATTGGGTTGTGGGACTAAGAAGGCTGTTTTGACTCAACGCTGACCCAAGTCACTTTTGGAAACATTTGGATCCTAGCAATTCCCACAGGGAGGATCCCACCTATGGGCTGAAGCACCAGGCAGGACAAAGGAGTACTCAGAGTGAAATCACACCTTGCAACTACCTGGACATTAAATGAAGGGATGTGGTGCTAGCAGTTAATTAGAACCTTTTGAAAAAGAAATCGTATAAAAAGCCCTGAGATGCAAGGAGATGCCACCAGCCTTCCTCAACACCCAGACGCACCAATCGAGTCCTCATTGTTGAAGAACCAGGTAAGTTTGGCTGATATGCATTGCAGAACGTTCAAAATCTTTGAATTCCAATTGCTTTTTTTTTTGCGGGGTAGAAGAGGTTGTCATATAATGCTATTGATCTAGGTAGTTGCTGTGAGTGATCCTGCAGGATGGAAGGTGGTGGTAGGAACCAGGAAGGACATGTGGAGAGAGAGAGAGAGAGAGATCAAGGCAGGCAGGGATCCAAGAGGATTCTTTTCTTTATTTTGGAAGGCAAGGGATCTAGATTTTAACATACTGAAAAGCCACAACTGCCCAAAGCCTTTTGTTGGTATTGAAACAGTATACAGTGGTACCTTGGGTTAAGAACTTAATTCGTTCTGGAGGTCTGTTCCTAACCTGAAACTGTTCTTAAGCTGAAGCACTGCTTTAGCTAATGGGGTCTCCTGCTGCCGCTGTGCTGCCGCTGCACGATTTCTGTTCTCATCCTGAAGCAAAGTTCTTAACCCGAGGTAATATTTCTGGGCTAGCAAAGTCTGTAACCTGAAGCATCTGTAACCTGAAGCGTCTGTAACCCGAGGTACCACTGTATAAATCTAAAATGCTATCCCAAGACAAAGCACTTCCGTAGCTATTTGTATTTTGTAAAATGAATAAAATGCTGCTTCTGTTTTCCCCTGAATACTGCTCCAAATGTGCTCTGGAATGTCTATGAACTTTCCAACTTCTTAAGGAAAATGTCACAAAATGTGGCTCCTATGCAGGTTTTGTTAGTCTTTTGGCTGTTGTTGGTACGCTCACAGAGGAAGCTGAGAGCTGAGATTTGGTACTGTTGAGTGGAAAGGTGGGCATAGATGCAAGAATATTGGTTCAGATAGTTTACGTAGCAGGTGGATGAGGTTTAGACTGTCAAGTAATGAGTAACAGTAACTCAGTAATAACCAGGACATTGTGGGAAGCTGTCCCATAAGGATAACTTTTAACATAATGCAATGTATTCATTATTAAGTAACATATTCAACTCAGTCTTACTCATAGTAGTCCCACTAAGAACATAAGTTAGGCCCCTTCTGCACCATGCTGTTAAAGCATTCTCATACCACATTTAAACATAATGAATCTTGGGAACTGTAATTTTTTAAAGGGTGTTTAGAGTTACTAGGAGCCAATTTCCCCCTCAAAACGTTCCCTGAGAAGAGGAGTTAATAGTTAAATCACTCTGAAAATTGCAGCTCCGTGAGGGGAACAAAGGTCTCCTGAAAACTCTCAGTGCCTGTTAACTAACTAATATTTCCCAAGATTCTCTGGGGGAAGCCGTGATTGTTTAAAGTAATAAGATGCTTAGTATTGATGGGGCCTTAGTCATGTCCATTAGCTTGAATGGGTGCACTTTGCATAGAACTGGCAAGAGTGACAATCCATGGGAGGCTTTCCTCAAGAAAAAAATCACAAAACAATTTTCAGCAGGTGCCAAAAACAACAATACAACAAAAGTTCCTATCACCAAGGGGCAGGGAGTTCCAGAGGCACTGACCATGCTTATTTAAATCTATTCAAATTCCACTCCCTGGAGGAAAAGGCTATCGATTGTGATTAGCCACAATGGCTGTTCTCTGCCTATATGGCATGGCAGGAGGTGGTTGCTCTTCTGAATAAGAGTTACTGGAAACCAGAGGAGGGAAGAGGGCTGTTGTGCCTGGGACTTGCTTGAGAGATTCCGCTGGGGCCTCTGGTTGGCCACTGGAAGAAATGGATGTGGGACTAGATGGGCCATAACCAAATCCAGCAGTTTCTTACGTTCTTTTGATCTGTTTCTCCAGACCCAATCTGCAAAGATGTCTTGTGGAAAGACCCAGTGCTACAGTAAATGCCCTACTTCCACCGTCACCATTCAGCCACCACCGTTCACCATATCCATCCCGGGCCCAGCTCTCCACTGCTCCGACCAGCCCTCCTGCATTGAGCAATGCAACCCTTGCACTCCCGCTCTGTGCTGCGAGGGAATGACCCGCATGGGATGTGCCTCCATTTCCACTGGTGCAGCCATCTCGCCCAGCCTTTGCCCTCCTGTGCCGATACTCAGAAGCGACTGCGGCCCTTGCCGGAGATTCTAACCAGCACCGCGACACAGAGAATGAATATTTGAAGAAGACCGTGGCGAAAGAAATCAGGAAATGGCATTCAAAATTGAGATATTCGGAACTGTTGAGCTTCTATGCATGAGGTTGTCTGTATCCAATCCTTTTCCCACTCAGAATACACTAGCTGCAATTGACTGGTGTGATGTACTTACTAAATTCAATGGGTTAACTCAATAATAATAGTAACATTAATTCTATTAAATTATTATTTGCCTTTTAAACCACTGTATCAAGGCAATTTTTATATGTGTTAATGGAAACAGTTAAGAAACACAAAAAGATCAGACACAAGGCTGAATCCCCAAGTAGTAGACACTCATGGTAAATGCCCATTTATCCAGATGGAAATGCCAGCCTCTCTTCAACTGTTTCTCGAAAGTGCTGATGTAATTCTGTTAAGTAGAATCCACATTTTTCGGAACTGTGTGTTCAAAATGTACAATGCATATGTTGTAAGCTAGTGGTTAATTTCTGCCCTCATCCTTCTGCCTTCAGAAGAACTTTATTACCACGTCTGCCATGGGACACTAACGTGTTCCTGACCATTCTAGGTCCTGCTATAGGGGAAACATGCAGATCACATCCTGGGAGTTGTGCAATGATCATGTGACTTCACAATTGCCCCAGCTAAGTTCAGTGTGTTTTACAGCAAATGGGGAAAACACTGCAAGTTACAAAAATGTGTGAGCTGGCATATTTCTGGATGTCTTTCTCCACTGACCTCCTCTTTGAGAAACTGCACTTTTAAGCTTTTGAGAGACTCGAGGTTCCACCAGATCTGAAAGCTCCTTTTGTTTGTATTTCCTTTAGAAAAATCCAGCACACACGTTACTCAGTTAATTGAAGAGGTTTGATAACCATTGCACACCTCTGAGGATCTTGCAATATGTTTTCCCATCTTTTAGCTGTTCTCTTTTATTTTCTTATTAGTAATGCTTGCGTTTAAGTAACTTCCAGGTCTGGATTTGCATATGGGTGCCACCTGAAACTTCATATTGTGGAACGGTTCCTTTCTTCTGCTTCTGAATTGTTATAATAAAGCTTCCTAGTTCATCAACCTCTGCAGTTTCCTAGTGTCATTGCATCTCTCTCTCTCTTTCAGCCTAGATGGAATTCCTAAGGGAAAATGACGCAGAAACAATGCAGAACAGGAATATTAGGTGCTGTCTTATATTGAGTCAAACCACTGGTCCATCTAGCTCAGTTCACACAGAGAGGCAGAGGCTTTCCGTAGTTTCAGGCAGGGGATACCGTATTTTTCACTCTATAAGATGCACCAGACCACAAGACGCACCTAGTTTTTGGAGGAGGAAAACAAGGAAAAAAATATTCTGAATCTCAGAAGCCAGAACAGCAAGAGGGATCACTGCGCAGTGAAAGTAGCAATCCCTCTTGCTGTTCTGGCTTCTCTGATATCTGCACAGCCTGCATTCGCTCCATAAGACGCACACACATTTCCCCTTACTTTTCAGGAGGGGAAAAGTGAGTCTTATAGAGCAAAAAATACGGTATTCCCAGCCCAACCGGGAAATGCCAGAGGTGGAACCTGATACCTTCTGCATGCAGAGAAATGGCTCTATCACTGAGCTATGGCCCTTTCCCGAAAAAAAAAATGAAGTAAGATTCTAGTCCTCATGGTTCTGAATTAGAGGCCAATTTATATAGGGGTGACTTTGAAAGAGGCTTAAATAAAACCATGGAGGATGGGGGCTATTGATGGCTACTAGTCACAGTCGGGGAAGTAATGTTTCTGAATAATAGTTTCTGGAAGCCACAGGAGGGGGGCGGGAAGTGCTCTTGCACACAGGAGTTGGTGCTTGCAGGTGTCCCCCAGGCAACTGGGAGAACAGGTTACTGGACTAGACAGGCCACGAAGAACCATGAGGTTCTTCTTGTGTGCTAAGGTTCTTAAGTAATTTGTACAAATATGCATATGCTAGGGTGAAATGCACCTATAAATGCACATATTTTTGAAAATAGCATATAAAGATGCATTATGTTAAGTGAAATTGTTTTGCAAGAATATCATTTTATTTGTTGAATTTGCATCCCGCAAAGGAGCCCCGGTTAGCAAACAGATAGGCAATTTCAAAATGAAACAAAAACATTCCAGAACAGCTAAAACATTCTAATAACGATTACAACGAGAAAGAATCTAAAAGCATCTAAAGATAATTTTCTTTTCACAGACAGCATGCGACTAGTCATCAGTAGCATCTATGTTTCAGCTCCCTGCTCTCAGCAACTAGTAGGTGAATTTCCATACAGAAACATGAGGAGAAACACACATTAAAATGTGGGTGAATTTTCATGAATATCTGAAAGAAAAGAACTGAAAAGAACTAGTGTGGAAATGTGGAGACATGAACTTTATACTGGAAATATGAGAAACGGGGAGATTTCCTCATCCCTAAACACACCCCTCTTTAAACAACGAAGTCCTCCACGGTGATCTACA